TAAACTAAAAATGTTATTCAATAACATATAATTTCAATACAAATAAATAAGTATATAAAAAATAAAAAATCCCCCGTCCCGTCCCATTCCGTCCCCCCAAAACCCGTCCCATCTCGTATATATAGTGGGACGGGACGGGACTTATTTTTGTCCCCCCAATCCCGGTCCCCCCAAAATCCCCCCAACCCCGTCCCGTCCCGTCCCGTCCCCTTGCCAGCCTTAATACCATGTGAGAAGACAAGAGTTTGAGAGAGAACTCAGCTTGGTTATTCCCACAAGCTATTGGGGTTTAAATAGCTAAGTATACATGTCCTCAAAAGGAAAGGAAATCAATACATTATCAATACAAATCAATATCAAATCAAGTTAGAGTAAATCTAGGAGTAAATCAAGCTACCTACTATATTTACACACATGCTATGGAATATTCCTAGAATTCTAACAGTGTCGTTCTATGCAATAGCATGGTTCTACTGAACCCAACATTTGGGCTCCACATTTAAATGGATCCAAGTTGTCCGAGTTATAACCTCTATCAACATGCATTACTGCAAATGAAAAGAACATCGTCAATTTGTATTAATGAGCAACAAGACAGGTGAAATTACTGACAGCTCACTTCCAGATATAAGGTTCTGTCCTCTTTGGTATTTGTTGATACTCCTACTATTTTTCGGCTCATCTAGTCCAAAAGGATTAGCTTCTTGAAAGAAATATAATGAAGTATTGCATCTCACTTAGAAATTTTAGAGAGCTTTCAGATGGCCACAACTAGACTCATGTAGCAGACCAAAAGCAGCATGTTGTTCTCCACAAGTCTTTTGTTTTAGAAAACCTACCTGTACAACTTAGGGAACTGTTTATTTTAGAGATATATCATTGTCATTTGAGGGTTTGAACTAACAGAAAGAGGTTTCAGTTCGTTCTGTCCTTTCCATTTAGGGTGCACGTTAAAATGTTCCCCAAAAGAAGCAGATCATGGACAATTAATCTAATTTAATAAGCCAATTGAATGACATGTTTGCCGTGAAGAGTTCTGCACCACAATTATTTCCCCATGTGGAAGTGGCATATATATTGAGAGCTCAACAACCATATAGCACTATGCACCAAACAAAACCTTCCACTAGAACACCATGTCCCGGTGATATATAACACCATATCTCTTTTCTGTTATTGTTTATAAATTCCTTTTCATGTGTACTGCAAGATGCACTTTCTTGTGTACTAATTGCCTCCCGAAAAAGATTAAAGAAATGCACATAGTATTTTCTAAAAGAGAAAGGCATGGAGCTTTTTTCTTGTTCGGTATCCAACAATTTAAACAAGCAAATCTTCATTTAGTTTAGAATTCCATCTACTCCTATAAGTTTCAAGTTTGTGAAATCCTTCTATTCTCTTATAACCAAATTATATCTACCGCAACATGCTTTCTCACATTGTCAACTTTATGTTGCACTTCCAATAGGGATTTCAATGTCAATAACAAGAGTTTTTGTTATGACAGAGCAACCGAAACGAGTGAAAGGAACATACACCTGGAATATCATCTAGAAGAAAGCATTAGGTGGAGATACGGTTAATTACATGAGTGTACCCCATAAAAGCTAAATAAGTAAAAGCAATTACATGATCTAATTGAACTTTGATTGTATCTTTATAGGTTCAGACTATATGTAATTATCTTGACATCGGCTAACAAGACACCATTCAACAATCAACACTGATCATTCCAGAAACTGCTCACTTCATTCGTTTGTGTATAATTTTTAACTGAATATTATTGATATAATTTAACAAAAACTCTACACTCCAATGTCAGGCAATATACTATCAACTTGACTACATGACTCCGGAACCACGTGCAACACACATGTCGAGAGACTAGTCTTATTAAAATGTCTAAAAAACACAGATTGAGCAACTCTTTTCAGGTTTTCAACATACACCACTTGAGAACTGTATCATCAAAAATCCTAAATTAAATTTTCAATGAAGAAATAAGTACCTGAAAACCGAATCAGAAGAGAGAATTCCAAGATGGGTGTCACTGTAAGGGTGCCAACAAACCTTCAACGTGCGTATTGACTTGTTTCTGTCAAAGTAGATCTCTGAACCAACTAGAACTGTCCTGTAACCGGCAACAGGAAATGAACACATTTAATGTGACTTCAAATGCACCACAACTGATTGTCAGAAAACAACATAATTACCCTCAAATATTGGTACTGAAGAAGTAGCTATCATGTCTATTTTGTTTTAATCTCCTAATACAGGTGAGAGGATAATCTGACTGGTTTACTCAAGGATAACAGTAATAAATATTCTTGAATCATAGAAAGAGACTCTTCTTCGTTTGACATTACCTGATATTGCCCTTTACAGAACAGAATGTAAGTTAGGAGGTGCAAACAAAACCTGCATTCAATGACTATAAAAGTCCTCTATTTGATATTAAAATACAAACAAATTAAACTAAACTAGAGATACTTTGAAAAATATATATTTAATCTTTTTTTAATAAGGTACATAATATCATCAATGTGAGTTAACTCCTACATATAAGCAGTGTATCAAAAGGAGAAAAACCTACACAAGAGTATAATTCTCTAAAAAAATGACAAACTTTTATACAAAAGGAACCTCCTAGGTGCATCAGAGACTAACTAAAAACAATTGGCAATTTCTTAAATAGCAAAATTATTTCGTACCCCCTCAACAGTTCATATTTCTCTCTTTCCACAACTCCCACGTGATGACTAAGGCGGCAACATTCTATACTCTTCGACTTCTCTTCTTTCTAATAAAAACCCAAATATGTAACATGTCCTTTACGGAACCAAGCATCACCGGTTGCACTCCAAACCAATTCGATATAACCCATTGCAAACATGCGGACACCTGGGCAAGGTGGCCTGGTGCACAAAGAAACCAACAAGGGGTGTCATGAACAGCAAAACTTAATGCAAGCATTAGTTGATCCACATCGTCGCTTGTGTAACCATCAATAGAACACCGGCTAACACATGTAATAATTCTCTTCCTCATGTAACACGTGTACTCAGTTGACAGAATTACTCCATTGCTGCTAACAAGACTAAAAGCACACCTTTCTAGGCACCATAGGAATACTGAATCATCCTTCAACAAAAGCTTGTGGTGGCATGACTTTACAAAGAACGCACCATCACTTCTTAGTTCTTACCCTCCCCCTCCATGATAGCTAGTGAATGAATGCTCTATTTCTAGAGTATTTCTCCCAATGTTTGAAATCCGTCAATCTCTTATTCTTATAAATTCCTCTTAAATCTCAAGTTCCAGTGAACTATCCTATCTTGTGCCATTCAAATCTGTTGCGCTGTCATCTCATTTTGGCTCAAGATTCTATGAGTTGGGGAGGCTCCTTAACATGTTCAGTCCATTCACAACCCTAGTGACCTTAAAAGCTAACTTTGCTACCACCCTTACCATATATGTAACGACGCTACTGAAGTCTTCTCATTCCTTTAGGTTGTTCCACCAAGGATAGCATCCATACGACAATTTAATGTTTCCAGTCCTCCATCCCCTTCCACAATAGCATATTTCCTTCTGATTACCTCCTTCTATAATATCTGGTCCTCAAAAATAACCCTATCCATTTATGAAACTGTGTCTTGTTGGAAACTCTAAAGTCAGTCACTGCAGGATCTCCTTACTCTCTCAAAGAGGTTATGGTCTCCCAACTAACTAGGTAAAATGATGAGTACCTTCTGTTGAGTCCCATTAGAAATTCTTTTGAAGCCATTACAACTTCCCTATACTAAATGGAGCCTGCAAAGAAATATGTAATATGTGGGTATGCTTGATATTGTGCTCTTGACTAGTGCTTCCTTCCCCCTTTTGATGAATGTCTCTTTTGTCACCCTACTAGTCACCTTTCAAATCTTTTAGTTACTGAATCTCACACAACTTGCCCTAATTTGAAACACCCAATGGCAATCCTAGGCTATTTTGCTCGGACTCTTCTAAAATGTCAAGGGGTGCGTGTCGGATTCGTCAAAAGTAGTGTAATTTTGGAGAATTCGACACGGGTGCGGCATCGAAAGTGAAGAGTCCGTGCAACTTAGATCCTAGGTATATGGTAAGGAGAGTTTTATACGTACAATTGCACTTGTGCTAGGTGTTCAACATTGTCCACCTCATCCACGAAAATGATATCACTTTTTAAGTGTTGATCGTGAGCTTTAACACTACTTGGAATTATATGAAGGTCTATTTCAAGGAACTCAACTAGAAAATATCTTAACATATATCCCCATTAGATATACACTGGTATGTCATCAGCAAATAATAGGTGTGTGACCATCAGTCCATTACGCAACTATGTTCACTAATCAAGGCTGAGAAACTCTAACCTCCCGTCACAACTTCATCTATCATCCTACTTAAGACTTCCATCATCAAATTGTACAACAGAGAAAATAATGGACCCCTTACCCCAAGCCTCACGAGCTTGTCCACCTGCAATTGAGAACTTGTATGAGGTGGTCAACATGTCCACCTCGTCCACTGAAATGATCTTAATTTTTAGTGTTGATCTTCAACTTTGACACTACTTTGAATTATATGAAGGTCTGATTCAAGGAAAACAACAAGAAAATATCTTCATCACATATGCACTAGTATGTTAAACTGAAAAAATCTTCAAATAACCTCCTATCACAGTGTCATCAATCATCTTATTTCAAACTTCCATCACCAAATTGAATGGTATAGGAAATAACAAGGTCACTTAAGTTACACCACTCGAGCTTTCCATTTGCTCTTATTCCATAATAATAAAGCACTTCCCTCACTCAATATTATTAGACATTAATGTGTTGTACTTAACCATCATCCCCACAAACACACACACACATATCTCATTATTGCATTTGTCATGAGCTCCATTAATGTAGTTTCTTGAAAGCGTAGTAGATTCACCTCCAATTTTCTAACACCTACTTGGATGATGGCCGTTTTTGTTTCTATCACCCAACCCCCTTGCAAAAAATATCTTTATATATCAATAGCTTATATATCCTTACAACAGTATCCCCTTTCCACTTCCATCATTCTCCTCATAGTCACCCATATCACCTTTCGTACACTATAATTTTACCTCTTCCTCCTCATGGTTTGGCCAACCTAGTATCCCACCCCTCTTTCATCTCCTCTAACTCTTCTTGCCTTTTGAAATATCAATTAGCGACTCTACAACCATATCTTCCTTTCTTCAAAAAGAATCCCCTAGAACTCCCCAAAGTTGAGGAATCGTTTCCACACCCACTTTGTCATTCCCCTCCACCCATCATTGATGGCTAAAGGTTGGCCAGTTTCATCTATGTTCCTATTGCTTTCTTTCTCGAAAAATTATTCTCCCTGTCAAGCCTGACTTCACTGCCTAATTCTACTAGTTGATACTTCCCTATGAAGCATGTGTCTTGGGTGGTGGACCTCCTTAATTGTTCTTCTCGAAGATTGATTATCTTAGTCCTTCCAAATTACAACCTTATTCTTGTTGCAGGTTTATTATACCTTGAGAATCAAGCTAGTACTATTAGATTTAATAACAAAAAATAGCTATATGAGAAAGTAAGCCCCACAAACCAAAGTGGCAAAAAAACAAATACAATTTGTTAAGGAAACCAGCTAACAGAATATTATTACATATGAGAAGATAGAAATGGAGAATATATTAGCCAAAATAGGATACATTTCACTTGCTAGAGAACAAAGATTGTGTAAAGTGTAAAGACTTTATTGATAGTTTTATTCAATGAATGAATGGAAGCAGTCACATTCTCTCCCACCCCTCACCCCAACCACCTTAAAAATATAGTTTTATTTAAAGAATGGAAGCAGTCACATTCCCCCCACCCCACCCTAAAATAAATTCTACTGAAAACTCTAGTGATTAACCAACTTCGATATTTTTAGCATATGCCCACCTACCACATTGACCAAAGGAGCTTGAGGTAAGTACAAAAATTGCATGCAAAGAAAGTACATAAAATCCATTGTTGTTTCTCAAATTTATCATATATTGAGTTGACTAATAATCAACCCATTTCATTAAACCTCCAACCAAGCAAATTTGCATACTAGCTAGGTTCTTCTTCACCAACCTTCAATCTTCTAAAACTTCTTCTACGTCAAGTGTTGGCCAAGTCAAGGCTTCCTTGTAAATTTGTGACTTAAATTTATGGACTTCTAGAGAGAAGTACGAGTCACTCTCGCCTTCCTTCATTCAACCAAGGAATCATGAGAAATTCAAGAAAAGGACAGCTAGAAAGTGTGTACAGATGGAAAAGGATAACCTAGGTGACTCCCTATCTGGGTTGTTGGATATCATTGGAATATCCCTCATGAATGTGTAAAGTTGACTCGTCGAACATTTTCACCTTCTTGGCACATATCTCCTCTAGAAAAGTCTTGACTTCTTGGGTAGTTTGGTTATGCTCACCCAAATGTTTTGAGTTTTAGAGATGTAGTCGATGATCAAAAAGGCTTGTCAAAGTTGTTCTGTTCTCTCTCCTCCATCTACCTAGCTAACAACTAGTAACTTCCTTCCTTTTTTTTGTCAAGTTCTTGAAAATTGTAGCTTTTCCAAGGTGAAAGAAGAAAGAGAATCCAAAAATCATAGAGAACAGTATGTCATCTGAATATTCAAAGCAAATCGAAGGCATAAGGAAAATGATCATAGAAGGGTAACAAACGAGAGACTGGGAGTAGTAAGAAAAATTGGTATCACCATTATTGTAATTGAATATGCTACTTGAGATTTCCAGTCATAAAGAGTAGAGATGGCTTATGCAAAATGCATCAGACCATTCAATTGAAAAGTGGCTTGCTCATTAGCACAGATCCATTACTGCTCATTTATGGCATATCAGGATAACTATACCATCATTTTATATTTTCAAACACTTCTATTTCAAACCAAGGAAAATAAGCCTATTGTCCACCAGAAAACCCGAAAAGCCAAATTTTGCAATTACTTGCCATTTTTGAGCTTCTAACACACCCAAAGTGCTTCTTAAATGTAATATTTCTTCCCAAGAATCCCAAAAACCGTTTTTTACAAAGATTCAGGAGCCATTTAGGTGTGACCTCATATCAATATCATCATTGATGAGCAATGCTAGAACAAGGAGATATCCTAACAGATGGCATTACTCGTTGCAGACACGTACAATTCTGACCTGCCTCTTGCCCTTGAATTAACGAAAATATTAGCATGTAATTACGGATTCACAGGTCTCTTGATGAATGAGAAATCCCAAAAACATAAATAAGCAAAGAAAACAAAGAAAAAACAAAGTTCTCATTAAAAGACCAATAATCGTAAACAGCAGTCAACAAGCTGGGTATCCTAGAATACGTAGCTTACGGAGCCATTCCAAGAGAAAACTGTATATGCTGAGATGCAAGATCAAGAATAGTTTTCAAAAACAAATAGCTACATACAAAATTGAATTTTTTTTAAAATGGAAAGATGGTTTCAGATAGCTATACCAGAAAATTCATAATTTCCTCCAGGCAACCAGGAACAGAAGTGCATAGGACTGGTTAAATACATATGGTGCTTCCGAACTCCGAAGATAAAGGAGAATGACATTTCAAATGACAAATAGTTACAAATCACAATAACACTATTGTTTGAAACACACTGGAGTCCAAAGAAAACATAACCATACAAAACCAAAATGAGGAAGTTATACCGGCAAATAATTGTATTTTCTTTTGTCGAAGACCTCCCATAGAGATACATGACGTATAAACCATCCAAACCAACTAGGAAAAGTGCTGATCCATTTCTGTTAATGGAAATTCGCTGAACCTCAGAATTCAATTGCACATCAGCTTGCAGTACCTAAGCAACAACCAGCACCATCAAATATAGCTAGAACAATTAGTAGCTTGATATCAGGTAGAAGTAGTACCAATGCACTTCAAATATTGGTGATGAATCCGTCTCTCCCTCTTTTGGGTTTTTAAAATAAGGGAGGAAAGAGAAAGAATGAAAGAAGTGGATTGAACATTGGGGCTGAATTGAATATTTATTAATCATAGAGGAATGGGGGTGTAGGGCTATGCATGTTAAAGGTGCAATAGAAGTTGGAAATCAGTCAAACCAGTATGGTTAACTATTGTTGTCACCTTTGAATCAACTAATCCCTATATGTTACAAGTAGATTGTTGAAAATGTTATAACCCTCCTCTATTCAAGCAGTAAAGTTCAGTTTGCTAAGAAAAGTAAAACATAAACATGGAATAGAGATTTGTACATAAGAAGTTACCTTAGAGGGAGAAGCTGCAAGGAGGGAAGTAGGATCAGGTTCACCAAATCGAACAGAGAGTCGATGCAGACAGGTTTTGTAAGAGTCCCAAAAGTAGAGACGAGAAGCTCCGTCGCAAGCTAAAAGATTTTTGGGCATTGTCAAGGCCCTGTCTCCATCCCTATCCCTGTCCGGCGGAGTAGAAAAGACTGGGTGGTGTTGTAAGGGTAGCCATTCCACATCTTCAGATTGACGGCCACCATCCTCCTCCTCGAAATTGTATCTCATACTCCTTCGATTCTCCTGCAAAACCAAATGTAAATTGTTTATTGCCTTTTCAAAAATATGTGAGGGGTTCCTGTACTGAGCATGGGCCCAATCTGGAGCAAGCAATGGGAAAGAGAAATCAAATAGATAAAAAGAGGCTGACAAAGAGGATCACCAACCGAGTGTAATGAGAAATTTTGATGACATGAAGAATATAATATCTATTTGTGTGATTGATAGACACTGCAATTTTGACATTTCCCAGAAATCAATCCAAAGTTAGCAACTTTAATATATCATTCAAAAAGAGGTACAAAGCGCGCGCGCACGGGGGGTTAATGTATTTAGAGGCCTAAATGATGTCACTGTTAACAACAAAGTTCAATGTATATATTCTTCTCACTATCTTATTGACATAATCCATTGTATTATCTTGTATACAAAGGAGTGACTACACTCTCACAAGTCACATATAACCAGAAATTTGCAAAGATCTGTCACTGAAGCTATAGCAGAAGAATTCAGGAACAAGAGGTTAATTCTGTACTTGAGCAAAAGGAGCAGTCTATCTTGATGACCCAAAACTATCAATGGAGCAGTCTATCTTTAGGACTGGCTTTCTTTCATGTCAGCATACATACTTTGTAAAGTAGCGATAAATGCTTAGTTGAGGGTCATGACAAAGAAGCACCTACTTATAATGATCAATTGCAATAGAAATAATCAAATCAAGAACCAAAAAATTGGATTTTTTATACGCAGAGTACTACTATCGGAACTTGTTAATATCAAACTCACACAAAAAAAACTCCAATAAACAAAGCAGACAAAGATAAGAAAGTAGAGACTCCGAATACAGTAGCCTTAAAACTCCAATAAACAACGCAGTGGCTAATCCTGAATTCTTCGGAGAGGATCTTTGCAGAACCTGCATTAGTATCCAAACTGTAATGCTGGGTCTAACCATGCTCAAACTTTGGCTGCTCAACAAACATTAGCCAAACTAGTAAGGATGAGGAGCAAAATATGAGCCCAAAACTCAAAAAACCACCTTTATTGGTGGCTCAGTTTTGTTTACTGTAACCAAGCAATTCACTCTTTAGTTCATGTAACATAGAAATCATCCATTATCGAGTACTTTTCACCACATCAGTTCAACTTATATGAAATGCATATCGATTTCAGCAATTTATTCATGTTGATAAGCAAATTTAAGTATTTAACCAATTACCACATGATCAATCTACAACATTTGCAGTATCTTTCCTGTCAGATAGACAGAACAGACATATTTGTGCACTAAATTACATGTCTACTACTATTTCTCTAGTTGGATGAACCATGTCCCATGGCATTTGGTTCATTCATTTACTACACACCAATTCTGCTTCATTAAACCATTAAAAAGATTGTCTTTCTTAACTTATCTCACAATCAAGAATAGCTTATCTTGGAAGAAAAAAGCTAAGTTGCACGGTCTCTTCACTTTCGATGCCGCACCCGTGTTGGATTCTAAAAAAATACTACATTTTGGAGAACCAGACACACACCTGTTGACATTTTTTTGAAGAAGAGTCCGAGCAACATAGGGAAAAAGGCAAACCAGTCACCAAAAAAATTATCTTCAAGTTTTATTTCCTCAATCAAAAGAAGCTCATCATAGGAGAAACAACGCGAAATTGAACAAATTCATCGAAACAATGGTCAAAAAGGCACAAGAACACCAGTAGCAACAGATTGTCCTGTATGCCATTCAAGCACCCAAATAAATGACTCTTCGATAAAAAAAACAAAAAGCCATAGCAATATAATGAAAACTTTTTTTCCAACTTGAACTACTAAAACATTAACTAACCACATACCAATGTGAAATATACAGCAGTATTGAGGGCCATTAAATAAGTTAATTAAGGTAGTTCAAGATTTTATTCAAGGCAACAACAGCTGGAAATATTAAGTACCAACAATGCCCCTGAAACAGCTGGCTACCAATCCCCTTGGAGTTCACACTGGCTATAATATCATGTCTTGCTAACTTAGATACTCAAGATAAGCAACAACATGCGAAAACATTCAGATATTCAATGATAGAACAAACACAATTACCTTTTGCTTACAGTTGTAGCATAAAAAGAACTCTTGCTTACAGTTGTAGCATAAAAAGAAATTGGCATACCAGCATACACACATGCACAGAGATTACAGACCAAGTCTAGAAGTAGGAATACATCTTTTATGTTGCTGAATGATAGATGTATATGTTATTCCCTGGTGAAGATCATAGATATGTATGTTGTAGAATACCTGTAAGAAAAATTGATTCTTTGAGGCATATCATCAAACATCCTGACTACATAGGTGTGTCGCAGAATAAAAATCCACGAGTAAATCATATTAGCAACATCTTTCCACGAGATATCATGTCCGTCTAACTCATTCTCGTTTGTCCATGTGCTTTTTCTTTGATTATTTTACTTTTAGAATTTTAAAATAGTATTAATTGATTTGATTTCTAATAAATAAAAATCAAATTGGGTCGCACTAACACCACCTCTTTGAAATAATCCCTATAATCTTACAATTGAAGAAGAAAACAAGTATAACAAAGGATTTTTCTTCTGCAAAGAGATATATTGAATGAAAGAGCTAGTAATAATTGAAGGTCAAAGACAGGACATTTACCTATAAAAATGACCAATTATTTTTCTGCCAGAAAACATAACACATGAAACAAGAAGAAGGCAAAATCAAAGAGCAGAAATTAAGCACTCAAGAGTCATAAAGCACCACATAGAAGGAGATAAGGGCAATCCCAGTAAAACTGAAAGCATACAGATCTTTTGTGTAAAGACCAACATCCTTTTCCAAGAAAATTCCTCTATCTAGTATCTACCAAAGAAAATGTTAAACCCAACAAAGACCCATATGCTAAAAACAAATATGCAGACCATGGAGAAAAGAAGAAGTGCAAAAGGAAAGAAAAGCTACCTAAAGATAGGACCTGATGTCACAAAGCTGAGAACTTTGGGGATTTTGTTTCAGCGATGCACAGAAGCTTTGAGGGTAGGGCTGGGCGTTGGTCGGTTCGGTTTTCGGTTTGGCAAAAATGTGAAACCAAACCAAATTGAAATAAATTCGGTTCGGTTCGATTTATTTCAGTTTGGTTTTCGATTTAACCAAATTTAATTAACAGTGGCAAAAATTAAAGGAAGTTGATTTATTTATACTTATCAAGGATGGATAGTAGTCACTAATTCACCGTAAGCCTAAATGCTTTGATATCCTCCACATTCAAATGCACCGGAAAACAGCCACAAGCATGCTTACAGATATAAGCTAACAGTAACTAAAACTCTAAAAGATGATAGACATTAGAAACTCATGAATCAATACTACTTCATGAATACTTATTTAACACAAATGGCAACAGAGTTGCAACTTAATTACAGAAAGACGCAGTACATTACAGTTCATAAATCACACAAATAATCACATAGTTGCATACTTGCATTCAATGATTAAAAAAACAATAGAGGACGCAATACATTTTTTTTTCATATTCTTGTCATGGGTTTTTCATCATATTTTTTTTTTTGAAAAAGTTAACTGGTATTATAAACAAAAGGAGTACACCAATAGTGTGCTCCTACATAGTTACATCAAAAGTATGAAAGGACAGCCCAAAACAAAATCTATCTCCTATATTCCTTATAAACTGTCTAGAAATAGGTTAATTTCCCCTATATCCTTAGGTACCGAATGTGTACACCAAAAATAAAATGTTGCTAAACAGTTCATCTTTATACTTTGGAAGGGAATGTTCTTGTTCTCAAAACATCTCTGGTTTCTCTCCTTCCAGATTGTCCACCAGATGCAAGAAGGGACAATCTTCCATCTCTCCTTGTGTTCTGACTGATTTCCATCTCTATTCCAGCATGCTAGTACTTCTGAAGTATGCCTTGGCATGGCCCATCCAATACCCCTCAGATTGATGAACCATTGCCATAATTTTCCAGTCACTTTACACTGCAGAAAAAGATGATTTACTGTCTCTATTTCAGCTTCACAAAAAAAACATCTAGAGCATAACTGCCTGGCCCTTTGGGTCATAACTGCTTGACTTGCAACTAG